AGCATCCCCAGCATGACATATTCTACTTTCAGTGATTATTTACTTTACTTACTACCTTAGTCAGTTTTTATGGAGCTGAACCTTAGGTTTTAATTGCTTCCCAAAACATCAGGACCAAAAGAAACTTGGGGAGGAAAGTATTTATTTCTTCTTACACTGCCACATCTCATTCTATCACTGAGGGAAGTACAGGCATGAACTCAAATAGGGCAGAAACCTTGAGGCAGGAATTAATGTAGAAGCCATAAAAGAATGCTGATTACTTGCTCAGCCTGCTTTTATATACAACCCAGGAGCACTGGGGATGACTCTACCCACAGTGGGCTGGGCCCTCCCATTTCAATCATCAGTGAAGAAAATGTACCACAGGACAACCTGGTTGAGGCATTTTCTCCAATGAGGCTCATCTTCCCGGATAATTCTAACTGATGTCAAGTTGACAGAAAACTGATTAGGACAAGCTGTGAGCAAAATACTTGTGAGACAACTTAAAGAATGAAAGGATCAGTTTGGATTGAAGTTTTAGAGGTTTGTGTCAGCAGGCCTCAGCTCCAGTGATTCTGGGAACATGGTGAAACTAAATATTATGGTCATGGTAGTGGTGGCAGAGGAAGAAACTATTCACCTCATAGCAAACAAGAAGTAGACAGAGAGGAGAGCCTGGAAACCAGGTCAGACCTTCAAAGGCATATATCCTCAGTGTGTTTCTGTCACTGAGAAAAAAAGCAACAGAAGGAAAGAAGGGTTTGTTTCATCTCACAGTTTGAAGATACAGACCATCATGGTGTCAGGAGCTTGAGACAAATGATTTTATTGTATCCAAAGATAGGAAGCAGAGAGAGAGAGAGATGAATGGTGGTGCTCAGCTCACTTTCACATCTGTCTCGTTTTATTCAGACCAGGACCCCAACTCATGGCATGGTTTTGCCCACAGTTCAGGTGGGTCTTCACACCTGAGTGAACCTGATCTAGATAATCTTTTATACACAAGCTCCGGGGTTTGTATTCTGGGTGCCTCCAGACCCTGTCAAAATAACATGCAATATTAAGCATCACACCTGGTGTTGCATTTTCTCCACCTATCTCCTAAGTTTCTATTACCTCCTAAAACAGCACTACTAGTTTAGGACCAAGGGTTCAAGATATGAGTATGTAGTGGAAATTTCATATTCAAACCATAAGAGGAACAAGTCATGCTACATTTTGAATGAAGCTGAGTAGCAGTCACTCCATTTCTTAAATCATATCAAATGGTACACACCTCAAAAATCAGCTCTGGTAAGAATACCTTTTTATTAAGGGAAGCAATTATGTAAATTATTATAGAAAATATAGTAAATTATTAGATTGAAAAAATAGGATGCCCAGAGAACTTAAAGTTGATTCTATGGTACCTTGAATGAGTTGAACATTTTATTACCAAACAATGCTGGAGAACTTGTGCATTATTGCATTGAGACATCTCAACCTATGAGTCATGTCTGCTATGCTATCTTTATTGCAGCCACTTTACTTGTGCTAAACTCATTGTGCCAATGTACATACCGCTGCTCAGAATCATTAAGAGAGAATAATGTTTTTCCTTCAGCTAAAAAATGGCATATCAAAAGCAAATGAACTCACCACTGTGATTTGCTCGTTAATCATCACTAAACTTGGCCTATAATTATAGAGACACTGATGAGAACAAACCATTGTCACATCGCGCCAGCACCGCAGTATGACTTTTAAACCCCACACAGAGTCTGTTGAACACTCGCATCTTTTGAGGGCACTCATTCAGATTCCTTTTGCAATTTTTTTGTTTGTTTATTAATAGGACAGCCATCCTATTTAAAATGGCTTGTGTAGTACATGAATTGAAGCTTCAGAACAAAAGTCATCCATCTATCAAGTCTTCTAAGGTGCTGCTCAAGGTTCAGATAGGTTCAGAAAGTGTGTGTGTTGGGGGGGGAATGTACAAAACAATATCACATAGCATGGTGCCACAAATCAGTAATTCAAGTGACAGAAAGGGTAATCTAAAAGGATTACAAGCCAAAAGCAGCCTGAGCCACATTTCTAATGACAGGCCTGAGAAAGTTGTAACAAAACCCTGTCTCAAATATAAACAAAAATCAAGTAATCCAATTAAAAAATGTAGTACAGAGCTAAACAGAGAATTCTCAATAGAGGAATATGGAATGGCAGAGAAACACTTAAAGAAATGCTCAACCTCATTAGCCATCAGGGAAATGCAAATCAACATGACCCTAAGATTTCACCTTACACCCATCATAATTACTAAGATCAAAAACTCAAGAGACAACACATGCTGGAGAGGTTGTGGAGAAAGGGGAACCATCCTCCACTGCTGTTGGGAATGTAAAATTATACAACCACTCTGGAAAGCAATCTGGCGCTTTCTCAGACAACTAGGAATAATGCTTCCGTAAGAACCAGCTATACTACTCCTAGGCATATACCCAAAAGAGTCTCAAGTACACAATAAGGACATTTGCTCAACCATGTTTGTAGCAGCTTTATTTGTAATAGCCAGGAGCTGGAAACAGCCCAGATGCCCCTCAGTGGAGGAATGGATGCACAAATTGTGGTATATCTACACAATAGAATATTACTCAGCAATAAAAAACAAGGAAGTCATGAAATTTGCAGGTAAATGGTGGGATCTGGAAAAGATCATCCTGAGTGCACTATCCCAGAAGCAGAAATATGCACACGGTATATCAGCACTCATATAGACATATAATATAGAATAAACCTACTAAAATCTGTACACCTAAAGAAACTAATCAAGAGGGAGGACTCTTGCTAAAATGCTCAATTCCTATCCAGAAAGGCAAAGAGGATGGACATCAGAAGAAGGAGAAGAGAGGGAACAAGTCAGGAGCTTGACACAGAGGACCTCTGAAAGGCTCTGCCCTGCAGACTATCAATGCAGATGCTGAGACTTATGGGCAACCTTTGGGCAGAGTGAAGGGAATCTTATGAAAGAAGTGGGAAGCAGTAAGATCTGGAGTGGACAGGAACTCCACAAGGAGAGCAACAGAACCAAAAACTCTGAGCACAGGCATCTTTCCTGAAACTGATACTCCAACCAAGGACCATGCATGGAGATAACCTAAGGCCCCTGCACAGATATAGCCCATGACAGTTCAATATCCAAGTGGATTCCACTGTAATAGGAACAGGGAATGTCTCTAACATGAACTGATTGGCCTGCTCTTTAATTACCTCCCCCTGAGGGGGAAGCAGCATTACCAGGCCACAGAAGAAGACAGTGCAGTCACTCCTGATGAGACCTAATGGACTAGGATCAGAAGGAAGGAAAAGAAGACCTCCCCTATCAGTGGACTTGGGGAGGAGCATGCATGCAGAGGGTGGAGGAAGGAAGGGATTGGGATGGGAGGAGGGAGGGAACCACAGGAGGGATACAAAGTAAATAAAGTGTAATTAATAAAGAATTAAAAAAAGAAAAAATAAATAAACAAAAACAGTATTCTCCCAATATGAAGACACAACCTATACCCCCAAACATATATATATTTGTCATTTGCACATTCTCAACAATGATTTTATTTTATAATAAAATACACATGTATAACACAAAGTATGTCATTTTTAATTGTACAATTCAGTAGTATTAAATACATCCAATATGTATTAAACATCACTGTTATCTCATTATAAAATCTCATCACTACTAGAAGAAATCCTATGTCTATTAAACATTCATTCATCCTTTTTCTTATGCCCCTACTCCAAACTTTCTGTCTCTGTTTTTACTCTTCTGTTTGTTTCACATAAATATAATTATACAATATTTGGTATATTATGTCTGATTCTTTCATTCAGTACCATATTTTCAAGATTACAGCATCGATGAATACTTCCTTTTTATGACTAAACAATATTCTAGCATATTGACATTCCACATTTTATATGCACATTTCATCGTGTTTTTTTTCCATTTAATTGATTTCCATAATATTTCTGTATTTCGTAAGGTTGAGAGTCCTTTAAATTTTCTTGTTATTTAGCTTTAAAATGAGAAGTATACATCATGATTATTACCTTTACAGCCATGAGATCAATATACTATACATGTGGTTAAGCCTTTGTATAGATTCAAGGATCAGTAACTAGAATATGTTGGGCAAAAACTTCAATGCCTACAGAATAAGGAGTGTTCAGATCAGTCTGCACACTAGGCAACTGACAATATTTGACCACTGTAATTTACAAATCAGTAATCATCTGGTTACTGTTCAATCCAATGGAGCATGAAGGTTGTTTTCGTTTGCTAATCGGTAATGCTGTCAATAGATGGGAGGTCTCTTTCCTTTAAGCTTTACTAAAATTATACAAGGATGATTTTTCAGAATTGACTTGACCAAGGTCATGTAGCAAAAGATCAGCTTCATCCTCGCACCTTTTTAAGATGCTCCCATTGTTCTTAAAATTTCTGAGGAAGAGCTATGACATTTTGCCCTCACTTCCCAGCAAAATTGGGAAGGATCCCAAAATACAGTGTACCTGTAAGAAAAGGCAGAGCATGAAGTCCAGAATTCAACTCGTAATCGTAAATCAAAGTAGCCTACCTACTCTGCACAGTAGGATCCAAGATCACAGATTACCTGAGTGAGGTTTTAGAGACACTGTGCATGGAGGCTGAAGGCAAAATCTCTGCCCACCCCTGCATTGTGTTCAGAGCTCTGCATTCAAAGCAGATTTGAGATACTTGGAATTGTGATTAGTAAGAACACAGGACATGCTGTACTTATAGTCTAGTCACTAAATCAAGGTTACTAACTTATAGTCATGACAAAGTTTCAGTCACATCCGTAATTTGAATTTTGTCCTTGAATTGACCATGCACTGACTATTTTACCTTTTAGCAACAATGTTGCATACCTTTGAGGATAAAGATGAAAAACAACTGTCACAAGGTTTGTGTTAGACTGCAGTAATCAGATAAATTTTTTTTCCGTTTTCTCTAGTCTCCCAAATCAGCATTTATTAGTGCTGCAAAAAAGGCAAGATTGAAGTCCAATCCCGTCAAAGTGCGCTTTTCTGAAGAGGTCATCATCAATGGCCAAGTGTCTGTGAGTTTACAATTATCTGTGTTGTTATGCAGAAAAACACTTGAGCAGGGGTTTCTGCTCAAGTCAAGCCAATAATGTTACTAAAATGTTTATTCTGGACCTGGTTCTTGTCTATCATGAGAGTGTCAAATCTCAAGACAGAAAATGTAATGGTTCACCACCTTGTTGCCCCTCAGTTCAACACAACCAGAAAAGGAGCTAACCTGGTGATTCCTGTGACACTTGCTGCACTAGCAAGTATTTATTGGGTTTATTGGGTAAAACAAGCTTCCTTTGAAATTCCACTTCTTGTGCCAACTAAGCATGATTCCACAGAATAGCTTTTTATATATTGTGTGAAAAGAATTATGTTTTCCTTGAATTTTTTTTTTTGTGTGTGCATGTGTGTGCATGTGCACTCACGTGAATGCCAAAGTAGTTGAAAGTACAGATTTTGTATATAAAGTTTAAACTAAAGAATGATCCCCCAGGTCCCCACAAATAAGTCTTCATGAAAAGCATGGCTTCATGATCTTCAACATGTATAATGTAAAAATCAAGAGGATACTTCATTTCCAACATTACCTACAGAAGAAAAGGGAGTGGGTACTCTTTCATTTTTGTTTTTGGTTAAGGTTTTAGGAAGCCTTTACCTAAGGTACTAATAATTTGGAGGACACTGGAAATGCCAGAGTTTTGTTGTTGAAAGTTGATGGCTTCCATCAGTGACATTTTTCTAAATGAATCTATAAGGATAGGCCTTCTTCTGTGATGTATTTGCTATGGATCACAAACTCATTCCTGAAGTTAGCCCTGCATCTGGATTGGAAGCTATGGACATACATGTGTATCCTGGACAAATCTTCTTATTAGTAGCCCAGCCTAGGGATGTTTAATTTTAAGGCCAAGGTATAGAAATGTGTAATAATTCTCCTTCAGTTGTGATAAAATAGCAAGCCTAAACATCAAGGAGAAAGGATCTTCATGGCTGCAGAGTTTTCGGTACATATTCTTTGCCTCTTGATTCTTGGCCTGTGGTGAGGCAGAATATGATGGTAGCAAGAGCTTGTAGGAGAGGCTGCTCAGTTCACAACATCCGGAAAGTAGAAATAAATTGAGATACAGATGGATAGGGAGAGGAAAAAAGAGAGATAGAGAAGATATGAATGAGAGATATAAAATCTGTGTACATAGGGGCCTAATACTTTCTTCCCTGTTATTCCAGCTGGGCTCTTAAGCTACTTGATGCCACCCCCTATTTTCAGGACTAGTCTTCTCCCCTCTGTCAATCATCTTTGAAAGTTTTGTTATAATACACTCAGAGGTGTGCTTTATTAATCTTCTAGGCAGCTCTCAATCAAAACTAGTTGACAATCAAGATTACAGTTCATGGCAGGTCAATCTCATAAATTGTTGTGGCACTTCTGAGAAAAGGTCTGAGGTTGTCACTGTTATCCTGTGCACATCTTGTACTTCCCTGTGAACTTGATATACTTTGCTCACTGCAACGGATCACCATCAATCTAGGCACATGTCATCAATTCAGAACCCTGTCCCAGTGGAGCAGTAGAAGATTCCAGGCAGAGAAAAGACAAGTACATCACATCAAAAATTCATCAGAAAATTACTTTTCGTCCCAAGAGCTTCTCAGCATGTGACGAGGCATCTAAAGAGAGAATAATATTCTAGATGCTGTTGTGACAGTATCATTTCAACCGTATTCATAAGAGGGCTCATGTGAGGCAGCAGGAATGTGAGAACACTGCCACAGGACCAGTGGTCGTCTGCAACCTCTACTGCCTTGCTAGGATCTTATAAGGAACTTCAGTTGTATATCTACCTCTTGATACTTGGGACCTGATCCTTTCTAATATGGTCTTCTAAGTCACAAGATGCCTTGTTTTCTGAATTTAAATTCAGGCTTATTCAGTGAGTCAGGCAGCAAGAAGGTCACTGTGGAAGGCCATGGCAGTACAAATGAAGGGAAGACATTCAGAGAAAGAAATGGGGCAGTGAAAGTCAAGGGAGCAGTTAACGAGTTATACAAGGGTTATGCTTACTCAGACTATAAAATACTTATAAACATTTGTGCATATGGTCTACATTGCCTTCTTCTACAAGCCAAAGGACATATGGCTTTACTATTTCTAAATCCCCAACAGCTGTCATGACTCTGTAACAACAAATATATGGGTATAACACAGTTCACTCTAAGGACTCATGGATCTTACATGGATGTGTCTACTTCTCACCTTTATCTCTTTCATCATCTCTTATGATATCCATTTAAGAAAACACCCTTAAGGAATTCATTTCACAGGTTGACCCTTAGTCATATTTCAAATGGGCATCATGCTTTGGAGTATTTTAGATTATGATATTATGAGCTGTTCTTTAAAGCTTAGACTTAGCACTTGACTGATTTCATGGCACTGGGAATGGAAATGAATGCTCTCCCCATGCTGGATAGGTTTTGTCAACTAGAGACACCTAGGAAGAGGCAAACTCAGTGGAGGGATTGCTTTCATCTAGTTGGCTTGTGGGCAGGTCTCTGGGATTATCTTGGTTACTAATTTATATAGGAAGGCCCAGAGCACTGTGAGCACTGCCACTTCTGGGCAGATCCTCCTGAATTTTATAGGAAAAGTAACTGAAGGTGAGCCTGGAAGAAAACAAGTAAGCAGCATTCCTGTGTGTTCCCTGCTTCAGCCCCTGCCTGCAAGTCTTGCCTTGAATTCCTGCCCTAGCTTCCTCCAGCAGTGGACTGCAACCTGTGAGCTTAAATAAACCCTTTCCTCTCCTGCTTGATTTTGGTCATGGTGTTTTATCACAGCAACAAACATCTAACCAGGATATCAGACAAGTGCTCTAACACTGAGCTAAAAGCCTTGACCCACGTTTTTCTCTTTTAGCACATTAGCTTTCCTCTTATGTTTTCCTTTTGAGCTGAGAAATACTCCTAAATGGGTTACAAAACATTTCAAAAAATAACTTTACCCTGTGCTCCTTCATGCTTGTGACTCATTTGCATGGCCACCACTGGGACTAGTAGTCTCCTGTCAAACAGCATCATTGATGGTCCTCATTTTGTTTATTTAATCCTGATAGGAAAAAGTCAGAGCTTGTAGTTCCAAACACAGATGCTTGACTACAAAGGAATTAAGTCTGCAATAATGTTTTCCATTGGGGAATCTTGCTTTAAAAAAAAAAAATGTATCTTTTTTTTTTTTTCTGATGAGCAAAATGTCTTGTGAGTTATTTGTAGCTGGAAAAATATTGCTGTGAATAACTTAGTTCAGATCTGATGGGATACCTGGTTGGCCTTTGAGCATTTGAGTGTTTATTCTTTCTTATATTGTGATAAGAATAAACCATAGGCATGTGTGGCCACTGCCAAGAGTAGAATTCTAAATTGACTGACCTTCACAGCCACCATTTCTGTTTTCTGCCATCAAACAGGAAACTGTTAAAGACAATTCACTTCTTTTTATGCCAAATGTTTTGAAAGTCTATTTGGAAAATGGACAGACCAAATCCTTTCGCTTTGACTGCAGCACCTCCATCAAGGTAAGATGACATTTGAACTTTGTGCCTGTACTCATTATGTAAAATCATACCAAGACAGAATGCATAAACTGAGAAGGGCTCTGTTCTTTTTGTCCCTGTTGGTACTATAAACAATATAACATGCTATCTATGAAGAAACACCAGGGCTAGTCATTTTACTGCAACGGCAGATTAATTAAAATAGCATGACTGTCACCAAGAAAGCTTGGCACCCTGCCCAAAGCCAATAAGACTTCCCAGCAAAGTCAGCCACCAAGAAAATAAGGATGTTAAATGTTAATTGAATAGCTGCCACTTTGGTGTCCAGAAAAAAACAAGGGGTAGAATAATGTAAAGGTAACATTTACTTTTGGTTGCTGTAACCAATTGCTTGAAAATGCTATATAACAAGTTGGAAATGAGGTGTGCTTCTCAGGAGGGGGTTAAAGGAAGAGCTACTATGCAATCCTATGATTTCTGCACCACGGGTGAGTTTTACATGATAGGTTTGGTAGCAATCCGTATGGCCCCCACCCTATATTTCTTTCCTTGAAAAGAAAAGTGCATAGCCTTCTCTTTTTTTTTTTTATTATACGAAAGTGTGTTCAGAAATTGATTGCTCCCTAATGTCTCATCAGCCTAAAATAGGCTTTCTTCAAATGGCACAGTCAGAAAAATTTTATGGAGGTAAAAATGTACCTAGTGACGATCTGTACCATAATCTAGCAAGAGAATATCAAGTCTGTGTTTAAAATGTCTATCAATAGTCAACCATTAATTCTCCGTGTTTGAAAGGATTCAGAGTAGACCTCACCTGTGCAAATGGTTCTGCAAAGCCCACTTGCTGTGCATTCTTACTGTCATAATACCAGTAAGCAGCTGTGTTTAAATTGCCTTAAATACATGGTGATTCAGTAGGCAGTAGAAGGCACAATATTAGTAGATGGGTGTAGGAGCGCTAAGTCATTCTTAATTGCCCCAAATGAAATGCTAGTTCCTTTCATATAAGACTTTGAAATGTTAATGGCTGATAAAATTGTTTTCCTTTTTAATACCAAAGAATGATGAGAGAATAGTTTATCTAAACTTGATCAACTAACAGGGGGTCAGCAAATTCATTCTGGAAAGAACAAGAGAGTAACCATTTTAAGCTTTGGAAGCCATCTGATGTCTATAGGAACTATTGAATTCTTTTCTTGCATCAGGAAAACAGCCACAAAAAATGTGGCATTGAGAGAACCTCAAAACCACCATTCAGATGAATGGTCTCCTTAAGGAACATCTAGAACTCAATCACTTGTCTTCTCACATTGTAGTTTGTTTCAGCATAAAGTGAAAAGATAGATTAAAAAAGGAAAGTCATTCCATAGGCATGGCCTAGGATAACTGAGATGAATATCTTCCAGTGCCCCTTTCCCATGGAACCTACAGGCAGTGTTTTACTCTACTGGAAATGATGTACACACACAGAGTATTCCTAAGAAAACTCCCGTTTGTCTTGCTGTCCAGAGTTTTTGTTGGAGATTGGTCACATAAACACAGCTTACTAACTGTATAGCTGGCCTTGGTGCCTTAGCCCTCTAGATGTCAAGTTGAGTTTTGCAAAGCCCAAAACTACTTGTGTGCTACTATTAGCATACATCGACTGTCTGCTATGATTCAGGGCTTTAGCTAAAGCATAGTAACTCCTGCCAGGCTGGCCACTGAAGACCTTTTCTCAAGAGCAAGATGGCAGGGCCACGTCTTTCTTTAGGTAAGGCTATTCTATTCCTGCACACACATTGTGTGGGCAAGTGGGGCTGACCATTTTGTTCAATGGACCATTGTTTTTGCAAACATTGGAACCTGTTCACACAAGTACATTACCACAAATCTTCTGCCCTTCTAGACTTATTCTGTGTCCCCCAGTGGCTCAACTCTTTACTGTTACACTTTCTACCTCATTACAAGATATCTGTTAAGACTTGAGTACATTTCTTAACAGAAAGCAATCTAAACTGAAGAGAAGTTCTAGTGTTCATTCCTCCTGGCGTCTTTATTATAAGAACTCACATTAGACTGAGTTTGATTTCCTAGTGCATTACAGGTGACAATGAGAAAAAACTAGGAGCTATGAAAAGAGTTTACATCAGTTTCAAGTTTTCTTCTCTTGTACCTAACAGCCTCATTAGCACAACAGACACTGGTTGTTGGACATAACAGAAATAGAGCAGTGATGAAAGGAAGGTAACAACTGCTGAATATAATTTGCCAAAATTCTCATTACAACGTTATAACAGGGAGCAAGTACCAGAATCATTTCCCACTACCCCACCACTGGTTTGCATAATGTCACATAGAGTTCACATATGTACACAAAGACTGGGTTGTGTTTTTCTTTCCTGGAAATACATATATGTGTGTGTATATGTGTATGTATGTATATCTGTAAGTACATATATATATATATATATATATATATATATATATAGAGAGAGAGAGAGAGAGAGAGAGAGAGAGAGAGAGCAGGGAATCTTTTAGATCACATTCACCACAATAAAGGAACTTTTGTTGAATAATTATTCTTCAGGAGGTGAGTGTGGTTAGCTTTTGTGGATTTTGTTTTAATAGGGTCAAAAGGCAACGAAGTAGACTCAAATAACAGAACAGTCTATCAAAACACAATTCATTCATGGGAAGGTTTTTCTACCTTCACAACTATTGAGATTTTAGAATGGATGGTTCTTTGCTTAGGCTTCCCTGTGCATTGTAAAGACATTTAGCAGCATCCCTACTCTCTATCCATCCAATACCAGCAACATCCCCAACCCTGTTGTGACAACCAAAGAAGGGATGTCTCCACAAGTGTCCAAATATTGCTACAGGATAGAGTTTCTTGCCATTGAGAAGCTCTGTTCTGCCTTTGGACACTTGACTAAAAAATATCTTGAAAATGGGTCATTTGCTAGTTTCAAATCTATGAAAAAAAAAAATGAAAGGTTGGAGAAATCAGCAGTACAGCCTTGGTTTGTGTGCTCAACACTTCCTGACTATAAATGTTTAATCCTGTAAAAGATTACAGACGTTGCTTGTTCATTTCACCTTCCCCGGGGATGTAAAATAAACATGTATTGTTGTAGTGGTGCTCTCTGTGTAAATGCCATTATAATAAATGCTTTACAAGTAGGAGTTCATTTGATTCCTACATCCATTCAAAGGTAAGCATTATTATCACTTCCAGTTTAGAGGTAGGGAAACTGAGATACTTAGAGGTTGAATAACTACCCAGTGCTGTGAAGTTTATAAGCTTGAGAGCTAAGATTAGAAACCAGACTTTCTCAGGAGCTTTACCACTACCATGGTCTTTTGGAATAGGTGAGGGCCAGCATATTATTTGGGGGCAGGACTAAAATCATGGGCATTTCAGGCTTCACTGGCTACTTCTCAGTTCTGTTCCTGCAATGTATGGACAATAATGTAACTGGACAATAAAGAGATGGGTTGACCCTGTCCCAATAAAACTGTATTTACAAAAATGGGTAGTGAACTAGTTTTGGGATGCAAAATATAATTTACCAGTCACAGGGTTAGAATATTTTCTGAGAGAGTTTGTTTCCTCATTTAGAAAAGGAGAGATCGAAACTAACCCTCCATCTGTTAAATACCTCTCTAATTTAGAACCTTACATGGAGGCTAGAGATATTGCTCAGTGGTTAAGGATACTAGCTACTCTTCTAAAGTAAAATAAAAAAAAAAAAAACAAAAACAACAAAGAAAAAACACTCAGCTTTGATTTCTAGCACCCACATGGTGGCTCACAACTGTATATAACTCCAGTTCCAGAGGATCTGATGCCCTCTTCTAGGGTCTTTGGGCAACAGGCATGCAGATGCTACACAGCACATATACAGTCAAAACACATACCTACATTGAAATATGGAGAACCTTATATGATCACCAAGTTTCTCTTAAGGCTATTTACCTTGTTACCACTTAGATTTAAACTCCATAGAAATGGGAGTAGTGCTAGAAAGGACAAAGAAAAGGAAAGCCTCAATTCTGTCCTTTTTGACTTTTGACATCATGAGACTTAAGCACCAACTGACAGCATTCCATAACAGAATGTAAAGCCTAAATAAATGTAATAGTTTCTAGTCATGGTAGACCCTAAAAATAAAAGGGACATTGTTGATTTTGATCTCTTCATGTCACTGTTCTGTAAGGATGTCATCTTAACCCTGCAAGAGAAGCTGTCCATCAAAGGAATTGAGCACTTCTCTCTCATGCTGGAGCAGAGAACTGAAGGGGCCGGTACCAAGCTGCTCTTACTTCATGAACAGGAGACACTCACTCAGGTCTGTGAAGTAACCCCAAGAATGCTGCTATAGCTGCTCTTGCTGTAAGCAGAGCCTGTGGTGCTTCAGAATGGTCTTCCTCCCGTCATCTCACTGTAGCTGTTCTATCCCCAAGGTCCTCTCTGAAGGAAATATTACCTTTACAATGCATTTGAGCACCCAGGCCTCCTTTTGCCAGTCTGTCATAGAATGTCATAGAATATCAGTTGATCTCCCATTTTTGTGTCATTCAAAGGCCAGGCAGATACTAGAAGGTAGCTTTGAAGAGTGACATTTTATGTTACTGTAATGACTTCTTTGCCTGTTTAGATCTCTAATCTCTTCAAAGTCATTAAAAACAATTTTTTTTCTGAGAGTATGTAAATTAAGTTGAAGGCGTCTTTGTTGTTTTTGGTTCTGTAGCATACTCATGACTATTTTTAGAAGCATGCAACCACTACCCGAGTCCTCCTCACTATGAATATGTGTACTATGTGTCCCAATTTCTGCTACCCCCATCTATTCTCTGGGGAGACAAGCTGACTACTTGCTTGTGTATCCAACATACCACCTTCACTTATCTCAACTTCAAAAGCACTGAGCATCTTGGTTAAGTGTCTAAGTATCCACAAAGTCCTGTTGCATAGAAAAGTTCACTGAGGAGATAAACCTACCAAGAGGGCATGAGGGGACATCTGCAGCTGAAGCAGCAAGATATTACCAGGGGAATAGAAAGACAGGAAGCATTGTCACACTAAAGTGCTTCTTATTTGATGCAAAATTAAAATCAAGTGCTTGGGGGTTCAGTGGTTAAGAACGTGTACTGCTCTTCTAGAAGACCTGAGTTCAATTCCCAGAGCTACATCAGGTGGTTCAAAATGGCCTAGAACTCCTGCTCAAGGGGATTTGAACAACTCTGGCCTTTTCAGGCACCTGAACTCACATGCACACACATAATTAAGAATGAAAATGATTCTTTAAACAAAAACCAAGACCTAGTACTCCACAGGTCAGTTCCCTCAAATAGCCCTATCCTTTTGACAGAATCCAATTGGATATAATGAATTAAAAATGTTGCCATGCATGTTGATTTCTATTTCTTTATCTAAACCTGACCTATGATTTCCATCCATCAAGTTTAAGACTACACAGGGCTATTTAAAGGAACTTGCAAAATAATCCTTGGCAAAAGCACTCTTAAAAATAGATGACTTATTTTATGCAATGTCATAGGAGAGCTATCACTTATATTCAGAACCCCTCAGGTGAGATCTCAGTATGTATCCAAGTTCCCTCTGGAATCAGAAGCTTAGCCAAAATCTTAAATGTACAGAAGTTCCCTGAGAGATCATGAGAAAAACTGAGAGAGGGGTGGAAAAATGGAAATGGGACAAAATGGAAAATGTCTCATCAAAAGAGTTTCTACCATGTAACTTTGAGCTCCATTCTACTAGAGAGCTCTGAGTAGCAATGTAGAACACTAGTGAGTGGTACCTTACCTAGGGTATACTGAGCAAGCAGTTGTCCTGTCACTGGTGGGTGGGCTATGCCTGAAGGCTCTTCCAATCCCCAGTCCATTAAACAGTCACAGGTACATGTAGTAGAAAACCTTTAGCCTGTGGCAGTAAGGAACAAAAGTGATGTGGGCAGAACACTGGTTTTTGAGTCTAATGAAAAATCCCACCACTTTATCTTTATGGGGAACAATTATAATGATTTAGGTGAAAAAAAAAGATTCAAAATTTGCCTGATGCCACATATCTAAAACTTACCAAAACGGGTTATATAGCTTGAAACAAAGCAGCTACCTGCTTTTGAATCATCCCATGCAAAGCAACCATTACAGTCTCAGAACAGGATAAGAATTGGTGTGCTTTCACTTGGTGTGTATGAACTCTGGTCATCTCTTCTTCTTTCCTGTGCTGCTTTCTCTTTCCTTTCCCAGCTTCCCCTTTGAACATTCCCAAAACAAGTCCCTTAACATACAATCCCTTACCTCTGAGTCTATTTCTAGAAATAGAAATAGCCTCACACAAAGGCCAATTTGAAGATCCTGTAGAAGTAGAAAAAAAAGGGGGGGATTTTTGATTCTGTGGATGTTATCCCTTTCTTCATCAGCACTGATGAGTCCTTTTTATTATTGCTATTAATTTATTCAATTTATATCCCTATCATAACCCCTCCTTCATGTCTTCCTGGTTTCACCCTCCCGCCCTCTTCCCACCGCTAGTCCTCAGAAAGGGGGAGCCATCCTCCCTTATACCAACTGATCCCAGCCTATCAACTCTCTTCAGGACTGCCTGCATCCTCTTCCTATGTGGCCTGGTAAAGCTGCCTCACTAAGGGGAAGCAATTGAAGAGCAGGTAACAGAGTCCATATCACAGACAGCCCCTGATCCCCTTACTAGATGACGTACATGGAGATTGAGCTGTCTACTAGATACATCTGAGCAGGAGGTCTAGGTCCTCTCCATGCATGGTTTTGGTAGGTGCATCAGTCTCCTTAAATGATGTATTTGCTCTTCCAGGTGACACAGAGGCCCAGCTCCCATAAGATGAGGTGTCTTTTCCGTATCAGTTTTGTCCCCAAGGATCCCATTGACCTCTTAAGGAGAGATCCAGTTGCTTTTGAGTATCTCTATGTTCAGGTAGGTAAAACTTTTGGATTGATTTGTATGAATGTGGAGGTACACATCAATTGACCCCTTCATTGTTTTATTCCATCCCCCACTAAGCTCATTGAACCATAAATAAGTGCGTTGTCCTCTTTTCATTTTTACTGTTGATTATGAAATAATGTAATACTTCCATAAATGTTGTAAGGGTAGCGATCTACATCCTCCACCCAAATTTACTCATTGTTAGTGTTTTCTCCTGTGTACTTTATATTTAGTGAGCTACATATTACTTGTATCTTTCGTTAAAGAAATCTACAGATAGACATGTTTTTCTACAGTACATGACAGCTAGTTACTCGCATCATATATTATTTTTACTTCTAAATATGCTATTTATTTTTCAATAACAAGGACATTTTCTTATATAAACTTTGTCCAATCAACAAAATCAAGAAATAGGACATCGATGTATGTCCCTTATCTCATCTTTTACCTACATCCAAAATGATGCCTATTGTCTCCAAAATGTCCTTTATGCCATCATATTATCTTCTAGAATAAAATTCACTGTGGATCTAATTTTGCATGTAGTTTGTTTGTCATGTCTCTTTAGTGCCCTTAACCTCTTTAGTGACATTCCTTATCCTCCTTTTATGACTTTTGTGACACTGAGTTTTGAGAAGTACTAATTAGATATTTTATGGTAGTATTTGCATTTGGGTTTCTCTAGTATTTTCTCACAATTAGGTTGAAGATATAAATTTGCAAAGAATTATATAAATGACTGTGTCCTCTGTATAGCACATGAGGAGCCACATGGTGCCACTTTATCCCCTTAATTATGAGGCTAACTTTGACTCTTTTTTTTTCATTGTTCCAAGTACTCATTACTTTATTCATTACTTATCCCTGAGGTATAGCTGATATCATTAATACAGCTTTATGTGACCAGTCTTAATTAGTGCGGAGTAAATTCCTAAAGTATAGTACTATAACACCACCAGAAATTTATTTAGAAATTCACATAAAGCCATTTTCTACTTTTCATCTTATAACAATATTTAAAACAGAAAGAACTCAGCTTGTGCTATCTTCAAGATGGACTCAGCAAAGTTTGTATTTCTCTATTGGGGTGAAGCAGGTGTAATCAGCCATAGGGCACACTAATTATTTTCTAGAATTGATCTCTGTTCTTATACCCTCTCTCTCACACACACAGCTTGCTCACTGCCTTGCAGATATGACCACTTGTCAGAAATCTGTTTCTTGAGTTCTTCCTCTACTGGACCACACAACACTGGAGTTATCTTATATCAAAGCCATAATTTATATTGAGAAATAGTCTTTTTTAATTTTTTTTCTTTATTAATTAAAATTTACTCACTTTGTATCTCTCCCCCCCATGGTTCCCTCCTTCCTCCTGTCCTAATCCCTCCCTTCCTCCACCCTCTGCATGCATGCCCCTCCCCAAGTCCACTGATAGGGGAGGACTTCTTTTCCTTCCTTCTGATCCTAGTCAATTAGGTCTCATCAGGAGTGGCTGCATTGTCTTCTTCTGTGGCCTGGTAATGTTGCTTCCTCCTCAGGGGGAGATAATTAAAGAGCAAGCCAATCAGTTCATGTCAGAGACAGTCCCTGTTCCTATTACAATGGAACCCACTTGGATACTGAACTGCCATGGGCTACATCTGTGCAGAGGTCTTAGGTTATCTCCATGCATAGTCCTTGATTGGAATAGCAGTCTCAGGAAAGACCCCTGTGCTCAGATTTTTTTGGTTCTGCTGTTCTTCTTGTGGAATTCCTGATGCTCTTCCAGAGAATCTGGAATTGATTCCCAGCCTCTACATGGCAGTTAAAAACCACCTATAACTCCAGTTCCAAGGGATCTAATGACCTCTTCAGTGGGCACTGAATGCGTGTGGTATATACACATACATACATAAATACGTACATACATACATATATACAGTTAAAACACCCATACACATAAAAATAAAAATTCAAAAAAGATCTATTTGTTTAATGTGTAGTACATAGTAATAGAAACACTCAGTGGGCCTGTAAACATATCTTCTAACATTCATAAACACAAAAAAGGGGGAAAAAGACAAATGTGAGCCAAAAGAAAGTAGATATAAGATGAAAGAGAGATACAAACAAAATGCATATGGCAAATTAAGAATGTTGGTATTAAGTGGCAATAAGCCCTAGAAATCAGAAATGAAGTCAGAGAAAAAACAAAGCAGAACATTGTACCGCATTCTAGTACGTAGGGACCCTCAGGAAAGAACCCAGTAATTTTCCCTACCTCTGTGGGTTTTGGATATTTTTTTTTAAGCTGAAGAGTAAACTTAATGTTCATGAAGATAGTCCTGCATCTCCAAGATAAGTTCAATCCTATCAAGTTTTTACACCCTATTTATCAAAAATAATTTTAAATATATACTGCATTTTCCAACTAAACAGTGAGACTATCATGTGTTTGGGTTTTCTTGGTGTTGAATTGAGGTCACAAGTACCCTTTAATTGGCAACAATGACCTCTGTTCCCCTAATAGGCTAAGAAACTTAGCCAACTACAACTGAATGAAGTGAGGAGTGTGATTCTCAGCTGATCGGTTACTGCTTCTTCTCCATACTACTGCTGAGCATCATTCCGAGGTTAGGTCACCTCAGCTAAGACCTTGTGTTACAATTATGAGCTAGTTAGTCGCAAATGAATAGCTCCAGGTACCTCTTAGTATAAAGATGTAGATACTGAAATGCAAATATGGGTTGTTTTCTATGATTACATTCCCATCTTGATAACAGGATGGTGCTTTAAAACCATTCCGCTTCTGTTTAGAAACCACAAAAAATTCCATTGCCTTTGTAAAGGGCAAAAACATGGCTGTGCTTGTTCTAGGGAAGAAAGACAAGGAGTACCACTAAAGCTGATCACATTATGTTTAAGGCGTATCTGCTCAAATTAACTGCATGGAGAGTTTTCTCATTTGGAAGACATCTTTTCTACCAGAGGGCTAGCTTCAAAATAAGACAACCTGTTTAGTGAGCTTGCCTGAGGACTGAAAGAAAAAGGTTGATGATGTTTCTTGTTTCTTGCCTTGACTTTCATGTAGGTGATAGATTATCTACCTCCCAAAGGAATAGGCAGCAGAGGAGATGAATAATCATATACTGTGGGTGATAGAGACTAAAATCAAGCTACTATCGTCTTATATATCCCCTTTAGCGTATAGGGCATGAACATTATTTTTTTGCCTCCTACTCTACTCAGAAATGACTACATCACAGAAAGTGTGGTGGGTTTAAATTAACACATCTGTCTACTTACTAGAAGTCAACAGGTCTCCTGTGTGCCCATGTTGATTTTAACCTATTACAACGAATTAAATTGCCTGGAGAACAGAAGAGGAAGCAGAAGCCACACATTGCACTTTACAAAACTCAAAATCAATTTAACTTAGTGGGCTCCTAATGAGGACAGTCACCATAGGCCGGATGAAGCGTGAAGATGCAAACAGATTTCAGTAGTGATAACATATATTTATCTATGAGTCATTAATGGCCCATGAGGCCTTTTACAAATTTTAGCATATATCTTAACAGTAAACTGTAATAATCCAAACTGTTCTGATTCGTAATGATAATATGCTTGCTGATATTTTTTCTGTCCACTCTATTCAGAAAGAAGTTGTTCCTACCAAGTAATAAACAGGGTACAACCCTTAAGCCACTGAAATCTTTGCAAACACATGTTGCTTTCCTCTTTGACATATATTAATCACAAATGATCTTTTTATGGGCCTAGAGTAGGTCCTGTTAAGACCTCTACTTAACAAAATAGTTGTTGCTATTCACTTGTGAGACTGAATCTTAAGTAATATATTAAAGAGTAATAAAATGATAATCTCTCTCATACACCCATACAAAAACAAACAAAAAACACATATACATACATATGTGCATACATACATACATACATACATACATACATACATACATACATACATGTAATTCATATTGCACACTATTTCCCCAGGGTCATTCTTCAGTAATTATATAATAATCAAGTGATTAATTGCCTTGCCAAAAGATTCACTCAAAAGTCTTCTTAAATCCAAATGTCTTAGTTATTGCTGTGATGAAACACCATGACCAAGGCAACATTTTTAAAAGCATTTAATTGGGGTCTTGCTTATATTTTCAAAAAGTTCATGCTACCATAGTGAGAAGCATGGTGGCAGGCAGGCATGTGTTGGAGCAATAGCTGAAAGCTTAACATCCTGATCCACAGGCACAAAGCAGAGAGATATAACTGACAATGACATAGGTTTTTGAAACTTCAAAGCTCACCCCGATTGACACACTTACCAAAACACAAGTACATCTCCTAATCCTTTCCAAATAGCCCCACTGACTGAAGACCAAATGCTCAAATATATAAACCAATAGGGTTATTCTTGTTCAAACCATCACAGCAAGGCACATCAGAAATGGGGAAAAAAAAAGATTCTGGGCAGAGTTCTTAGGAAAAGTAACAATAATGGTTTGTGTTTCTATAACACATTCCATTTTATAAATTAATCATCTTAGAGCTATCATGGCAAACTTGCAAGTTAGTTAGCTCTCAAGTTAATTGTCCTTAAGTGTTCATCCATTTTTTTTTTCAGATAAGAAAACTAACATGTTATGGCAAGCATAATTGTATTAGTATTTGGCAGAGCCTCCCATCAAACTTGGAGTTTTATGTCTAAATTCTGTACAAAAAAAGCACACCTTCTGTTGTAAATCTTTATGCAGTAGCAGTCTTCAAAAAAGCTCTTTGACAAAATAACCTCTCACAAAACAGATACTGGGGCAGAGGCAACATCTCAGTCCATAAAGAACGTGAGAACCAAGTGTGATCCCCAGAGCCTGCATTCACCAAAAGTAAGACCTAGCAGCACATACTTGCAATCCCAGCACCAGGGAATAAAGACAGGGTGATCCCGTAGGCATACCAGCCAGCTAGCCTAGCCTAGGCATTTACCTAAATTTCTGGTAAATTCCAGGCCTGTGATAGATCTTGTCTAAATACGAAAATAAAAAGGTGAATGGTTCATGAGGAAACACATTCAAAGTTGTCCTTTGACCTACACACATACAGGCATACCTATGCATGAGTATCCATACGTGCTTGGGCCTCTAAGCTTGTGAGCACACATAGGCACACACCACGTGCTGGGATTCCAGTCTCTTAGAGAACTGAATAAGACAACCTTATCTAGGCTGTTAACACCTTGGAGCCAAGGTTGACTGCCTCAAGCCCTGGGCATGATTGTTAACATGAAAATAAACAAAACAAAGTAGCAGCTTTGATTTGTTTTCCAGGGTATTCCCCAGCCATGTTAGGCCCTACTTCTTGACAGACCTACTTCAAAAACAATATGCTATGTGTTCCAAGAAGCTTAAGATTTCTCAGGGAAACAGGAGGGAAAGACATTATTGGGGGTGCATTGGGAGGAGAATTGGGCTCAGTTAGAAATGAAACAATGGACTGAGAAATACGCATCCATTGGTGTAGATACAAAGCATAAGAGGCACTATGTATGTAATGTTTAAACATTACATACAGAAGCCATGCAGTGATACCTGCTCCTACCTTCGGATAATCAGTGTATGTGGTGATTACTAATGTGCTTCTCCATGCAGCATGGGTTTCCCTTTGATGCTTATTAGGGACAAGGCAAAGAAATCCAATAAGGATGCAGGAAAGGGGTATGTTTTTTCTAGACCTAAAATTCATTTTCCAATATAAAAATCACTCAGCACACACACACACACACACACACACACACACACACACAGAGGCACACACATACACAGAGAAAATCTACTTACATGTTTTGCACGTTTCTTCTGTGCTCAGCTCCCAAATTTGCCCCTAAGAAGAGAGAAGAATACAAGACTCCAGTCTAGTCTTTGTGGTCACACAGGACCATTTTGTAACACATGCTCAGCCACTCTGGTGGACTGAGAGGCAGCCTGGTGATTTCAAACAGGCTAGCCTTGAATTTATAGTTCATTATGATGATTTGAATTAGAATGACCCACAGAGGCGCATATATTTGAATGCTTGGTCCCCAATTGGTTGAACTATTTGGGAAGATTTAGGAGGTTTGACCTTGTTAGAGGATGCGTGACACTGGAGGTATGCTTTGAGGTTTCAAAAGCCCACATCATTCCTAGTTAGCTCTCTGCCCCCTCCTTTTGAATAAGGATGTGAGCTTTCAGCTACTGCTCCAGCACCATGTCTGCCTGCCTGATGCCATGCTCCCTGCCATGAAGGTCATGAACTCACCCTCTGAACTGTAAGCCTCCAATAAACTCATCCTTCTATTAGTTGCCTTGTTCATGATACTTAGAACAGCCATAGAAATGTTACTAAGATATCCATCTACCCCAGCCTCACAAGAAACTGAAACTATAGTGTATAACGCTATACCCAGCCTACATTTTGCCCCTACCCACAAATTTTGTGAGCTGAACAAACTAATTCCAAGAGACGTGGACTGATTCTCACATGATTACACATTTGGAATGGGAGGGCTGCAGCCACTGACGTGAGTAAAAGATTTTTATAGTTACCCTAACAGTCTCTCATGCAATCCCCAAGCAGCTCTAGTGAAGTGTTTCCTATGCGTCCCGCTCACAGATAAATAAACAGAGGACAAGAGTCCAAATAAATGCTGCGGTTTCAGACACGGTAGCTATTGTTGGCAAAGCCAGGAAAGCAACCCCCCCCCAACCACACAAAGTAAGAATAAGAATGATATAAATACATTTTTTTTTTCGAAGTCTGCTTACAGCTGCCAAGAACAGTTTAGGGGCTTCACATTGTCAACTACGTTAGTCCTTGAAACATCCTGTGGGTGGGAAACCATCACTCCATTTTAAAGAAAGGAAAACTGGGGCACAATTGAGTTAAGAATTTGCGCAAGGCCACACTGTGTTCAGTTGCAGCACCTGTGTTTGGCAATTCCATCCCTAAAATCCTAATTATTTTTCCAAAAAGCTAAATATTTAAATAACAGCTTGTCGATGATTGTTAAATGTTTTGTGTGGTCTCTGTTTTTGTGCAATTAAATTCTGACGCAGCTCCAAGCAGCACGGTAGAGATGTTTCCACATTTAGCCTCAGTGGCTTAGAAGTGAAGGTTGAAACACTGGGGAAAATGCGTGTCACCTGTTCCTCTAAAGGCAGCACAAGGCAGCTCATGCTCTGACGAATTGCGCCCTCTGCTGGTCTCTTCACAGAGTTGTAATGATGTCGTTCAGGAGCGATTTGGACCGGAGCTGAAATATGACATTGCCTTGCGGCTGGCCGCGTTACAAATGTACATCGCCACTGTCACCACCAAACAGACGCAGAAAATCTCCCTAAAATACATTGAGTAAGTGTTCACCCTTGGTGCCATGAGATGCTGTGCGTTTTTCTTTACGCTTTGTATCATGACAGAGTATTTGTAAACTAGTGGCAAAATATACAAATATGTTGTCTTTTGTAATAGAATAGGTCGATTTCTCAATTTACTCACCTTTAGGAAATTGCAGGCAAGATGAAAGTCATTTGTGTAAAATGATCTGGAAGCCCAAGAATGATTGCTCATTCCTGCCATCGTATCAAATATAGCAATAGGGCATACAGAGGCAGAAGGCTTGCTGTAAGTACAAGGGCAGCCACATATCAAGATCTTGTCCCCAAAGCATCAAGATAAACAAAGAATATGGCCTGGTGATGTGGGCCTGTAACTGCAACTACTCATGAGTCTGTGGCAGGAGAATCCTAAGTTCTTAAGCTGCAGAGTGAGTGCAAGGCTAAACTGAGCATCTTTTTGAGATCCCATCTCACAATGAGGGAAAAAAAATGAGTATCAGCACAGTCAGCATACAGGCCTTACTTCAAAGATAAACGAGTAAACTGAGGTATACCATGATTAAGTTGCTTGTTACTTTTCCAAGTCACAGGACAGGAGGTGGAGGTGGGGCAGAGTTAAATCCCAAGCGGTGAGACTGCTCTTTGTGTCTTAGTTTGCCCAATAGACTGAACTACTACTGGAGCCTAATTAGGCTTAGCCACCTTTTAAAAAGTCCTGCTCCTGGAAGGACCGAGGGCTGCTCCCCGGGCCGCCGCAGCCTAAACCTTTTGGGTCTGGTGCACAGGACGCCGCTCGCCTTTCCGCAGCCATCTTCCACCCGGTGCCAGACACCGTCCAGTGGAGTCGCTGCAGCGATGGGGACGGAGGCAGGCGCAGGTTACTTCCAGAGGTGCAATCTGCTGTGGCTCACAGTCATCACCGTCTCCGTCAGCTACTACACGTGGGTGATCTTCTGGCCTCAGAGTGTCCCTTATCAGAGCTTTGGACCCCTGGGTCTCTTCACAAAGTACCTGGTGGACCACTATCACGGCCTGCCAAGGCATGGGTATTGGCTTTCTTGGCTGATTCATGTGGGAGAGTCCGTGTATGCCTTGGTATTATGCAAGCATAAAGGAATCACAGATAGCCAGGCCCAGTTCCTTGGTTCCTACAGACTATCCTGCTTACTTATAGACCAAAGCACCAAAAACACAATTAAAGGAGACAGCAAAATTGCCTCCCCACTTCTTCAAGTCCTCCTTTCAGTGGGTTCTGGTTTCGGTGATGATCTTTCTGTTTTCTAGGGAGTGACTATCATAGGAAGCTAAGACCCTCCAGTTACTTTTGTTTTGGGGTGCTCTGACCAACCTTAGATAGACCAATTAGAATTTAATAAAGTTAAGAAGGTCAAACTAAAAAAAAAAAATACATCAATCAAAGAGACAAGTAATAAGAAAAAAAGAGAGAGAAGATAAATTTTATGTAGTAGAACTGAGAAGAGGAACAAGAAACAGATATACTGAGCCCCAAATCTGTCTTCAGGATATTGACATGAGATGTTGATTTAAACAGAGGTTTAGGTTTAAGTAGATGGCAAGAGGATCTGTAACTCAGCAGCCTTTGGTCCAGGTCTGATCCTACCCACCACTGACCCACATGTCTGTTCTCTGCTGCATGGTTTCAGATAAATTGTGAAGACTGTGTGAAATTTCTTTCTTGGAGGCAAATTCCTCCTCTGGATGTTTTTACCGAGGCGTCAGTCTTTGCCTTTTTCTAGCATGAGATTCCTGGAAGGATTCCAATACCTGGGAGTTCTTTTGTCTTAATATTCCAGTAGCACAAAGAATGGGTATACTTTTCTCTTTAGAATTCCTCCTCTATTGCCAGGGTGGTTAAGGAGCACCTGTAGGTTGTGACTCCTTGGGAGGGGTCAAATGACCCTTTCACAGGGGTTGCCTAAGACCATCAGAACACACAGATATCTACATTACAGTTCATAGCAGTAGCAATATCATAGTTATGAAGTAGCAGCAAAATAATTTTATAGTTGCGGTCCACCACAACATGAGGAACTCTATTAAAGGGCTGCAGCAGTAGGAAGGTTGAACGCCACTGTTATAGAGACCTCTTCTGAAATGCCTTCACAGCAGTGTCCAAAGTAATGTAATGGGAAGAGGGACTGCCTCTGACATAATCTGATTGGCCTGCTCTTTGATCACTTCCCCCTGAGGGGGGAGCAGCCTTACCAGGCCACGGTAGAGGACAATGCAGCCAATTTTGATGAGAACTGATAGACTAAGATCAGAAAGGAGAGGAGAACCCCCCCTATCAGTGGACTTGGGGAGTGGCATGCATGCAGAAAGGGGAGGGAGGGTGGGATCGGGAGGGGAGGAGGGAGGGGCTTATGGGGGATACAAAATTAATAAAGTGTAATTAATAAAAAATTTAAAAAAAAAGTTGGGCCTGGTCACTCACACCTATAATCTGAGCATTGAGGGAATCTTAGTTAAGAGAATTAAAAATTTGAAGCCAGCCTAAGTTACATAATAAGACCTTGTTGTTTTTTTTTGTTTTGTTTTGTTTTGTTTTTTAAAAAAAAAGTGAGCAGGAGAGATAACTCAGTGGTTAAAAGCACTTGCAAAGGACCCAAGTTGGGTTCCTAGTATCCACGTGGTGATTTAAAACCATCTGTAACTCCAATCCCAGGCCAAGCTGGTACCCTCTTCTGGCCTCCATGGGCACCAAGTATGTATGTGATACACATACAGAAATGCATGCAAAACATTCATACATATAAATCTTTTAAAAAGGAATTCCACAATCAAGAAGCATGGTGCCTTGGTATCATAGTGCCTTGGTATCTGTGTAGAAAAAAAAAAAAAAAAAAAAGCTCTTTAAAGTGACTGGTAAATATGACACACAATAAAGTTGGCCCTATGAATCATATCTTGTTTATAAACGATGGATGCCTTCTCTTGCTGAGTATGCTATTTTACCACCCCATCCCTCCTTGGCCAAGAAAGATCCTCTTTTCTTAGAAAATTGATGGTTTGTATTGCCTCCAGCGGATGAATCTATTTAAGGGTCATCCTTTAGGAGGGAATGCTCAGTCTCTCAGTAAAAGATTTACTATCCTAAAGCAAACACCACTTACTTCATCCCAGCAGCTCTTTATGCTAACAAAAAGGAGAACTGCTGTGTCAGAGTTTACAGCCAGATTGAAGCCATGTCTCTTTGCCATGTTAAAAGCATTGTATTTCTCCCCATCTTCACTCAAAACATAAACAAATGAATATAATCCTACTTTTCAAAGACACTTTCCCAGGGGCTACTTGTAAAGTTTCATGATGCCATACTAACTAACCTGGGTGTTGCATTGGGGAGAACTAGAGCTCCAATTTACTACCCACAATGTTCTGCCAATTCCCAGTTCAACTATTGCCACTCCCCAGAGTGGTCAATCTCTCTCTCTCTCTCTCTCTCTCTCTCTCTCTCTCTCTCTCTCTCTCCCCATGGCATCCATACAGTGTCTATAGTCTGAGAGACTATCTGTTCACAAACAGTTCTCATGTTGGCTGGACATATTCATATATTCTTTCTCTACTATCTAAAGTCCTTAGGTACAGATAAAACCGGATGCCATTTGAAAAGGTGCCTACACAACCTGAAAACATATTCAGACAACTAAAATTCATTTGGGTGGCTGAGGACACAAAGGTGCTTGCTGTGTAAGCATGAGGACTGGAGTTTAACATCCAGAACTCATGCTTATAAAGCTGGCCATGGCATGTGTCATATGCAAATAATCCCAGCACTAGGGTGGCAGAGACAGGTGGTTCCCTGGGACTTGCTGACCAGCTAGCATAGATTAACTGGTGATTTTTTTAGGCCAGTGTGAGATCCTATATTTAAAAAAAACTAGCACATCTTTGTGCCTCTACTGTCTGCCCACTTCTCAAGTAGAACATTGTGCAGACGAGAACCTCTCAAAGGTTACTAGCTTGACTAGAAGTCTTGTAATCTGCAACAGTGTTGGCAGCAATCAATTCCTTTTACCAAGTATTGATTGAGCATTGTATATAATGTTTGCATTAGACAGTAGAAAACACTAATTTTTGAAAAATATCATCCTGACCAATCAAGGAAATTGTTATCTGAGTATAAAGAGGAGACATAAAGATATGCTGGTAGAAGAACACACATCCAGAATATCTGGAGAGAACAAATTAGTCTTCATGGGTTCAGAGGGGGATTTGGAAGACACGGAGTTGGGTGGGTAGGGGAGTTGGTGAATCTTGGAAAATGAGGAAATGGGGATTACTATGATCAAAACATGTAGAAAACTCTCAATGAACTTATTTAAAAAGATATAAAGATATGAAAGACAGTCATTTAAGATAATAAGACAGGGTTGATTAATTTGACCAGTATGAATGAAGCCCTGGGTTCCTGCTCATAAGCATTTCCTCTCATACATACATACACACATACATACATATGTTTATATACATGTGTCATATTCATATTTTATTTTTTGATATTTAGAAATTTTTATTTTCCTTTATTTTTTATATAGTACATCCCATGCCAGCCCCCACTCTTTCACTCTTCCAAGTCTCCCGTACACACACACACACACACACACACACACACACACACACACACACTTCCCCTTTCCCCCAGATGCACTATTCCTTCATTTCCTTTCAGAAAATAGCAGGCCTCCCAGCGATATCAACCAAAAACAGCATAATGAGATGGAGGTGCAATAAGATTAAGTATGAACCCTCATATCAAGGCTGATCGAGGCAACTCAGCAGGAGGAAAAGGATCTTGGGAGCAGGCAAAAGTGTCAGAGATAAGAGTCCCAGAAAAAAAAAAGAGTCCCACAAAACCCACAAACTAAACAACCACCACATGTATGCAGAGGACCTAGTACAGAGCTATTCAGGCTTTGTGATTGTTACTTCAATCTCTATGAGCCCCTGTGAGCCCTGCTTAGTTGATTCTGTAGACTGTGTTCTCATGGTATCCTTGACCCCTCTGGATCCTACAATCCTTCCTCAACTTCTTCAGTGGAGATCCCCAAGCTCTACCTAATGTTTTAGTGTGGGTCTCTGCATCTGCTTCCATCAGCTGTGGGAGGAATTTTCTCTGATGATGATTGGACTAGGAACCAGTCTACAAGTAAAACAGAATATCATTAGGAATCATTTCATTGATTTTTTTTTTCCTTTTGGTCAAATGTTTTTGGTTCTACCATAGGTCTCTGAGCCCTGGCACTGAACCCCCTTCAGGTGTGTGTATGTGTGTGTATGTGTGTGTGTGTGTGTGTGTGTGTGTGTGTGTGTGTGTTTAAATAAAGATATAGTAGCTCTAAGGCATACACAATCAATGAAGACAGTAAATACAAGCTGAGGAAGTTAAAGAAAACACATTGGAAATATCTGGATATAGGATGTATTTAAGAGACTCAGAAATGGGTTGAACAAAAGGTCTCTTTACTGTGCATAGTTAGTGTTCTTTCTATAGAGTGGAGAATATATATGTTTCCTTTTAAATGTGAACATAAGTATCAATGATCCAACAGTATATTTCCTGCATGTAAATGAAAAGTTGCCTCCCTGTCTTACCAAGAGTCCACTTGTTCCAACAAACAGCAGGGTGCCATTTGGTTTTATATACGTCATCACCACAAGAACAGTCAACGAAAGATGTGTTTTCTTTGCAGGAAAGAATGGGGACTAGAGACTTTTCTTCCATCTGCTGTGCTGCAGAGCATGAAAGAGAAGAACATCAAGAAAGCACTCTCCCACCTTGTCAAAGCAAATCAAAACTTGGTACCACCTGGTAAAAAGGTATCCCAGTTTCATCTTAATAGCATCTAGATTTTTAAGCAGAGAGGCTTGCATGCATTTAAGAAAGCATTTAAAATTATCCCATGAAAAACGTATTTGGCACACCATATTTCCAGAAGAACTTTGTACACTATTTGCAAATATCTAAAAGGAACAAAAGTACCAATCCTTCTGCGAATCTATTTCTTTCTCAAAAGTTGGAAACTACTTATTGTATGGAGCAGGGGCCTTGGGGTGTTCACATGAGAGAATGTCTGATATTTTCAGTTATGGTATCAAATCACAAGATAATCAGATAATTGTACATTTTCATCCTGTGACTAGTTAAATGCACAGAGCAGCTTAAATGTACAGCAGCTAGTAAGGGGCCCTGCAGTCCAGCTACTGTGTTCATTACATTAGGGATTCTTTCATAGGGAGATGTTGATATTTGGCAAGAAGTTGTTCTTTCTGAGGTATCAGGATGGTGTGCTAGGCTTTGTGGGATATGAAACAGCATCCTTGATCTGTACTGACCAGGTATCAGTGTCTCACCTCCATTAATTATTACAAACAAAATTGTGCCCAGATATTTCCAAGCATGCTCTAAGGAACAAAATCACCACAACCACCATGACCCGTTATCACCCACCACTACCACCAGTGACAACCATTAAATCCTACTTTGGGACAAGAAAGAAAAGTTATTTCTGTCACTAATCATTAGTGTTAAAATCTTTATATTCATTTCTGTTTTCATTAAGTAGGAGACACACAAAGAACATTTAAAAGTATCCTGTTGATCAGAAATAGAAAGGTATGTTTGAGAAGTAATAAAAGAACAAAGATTCCAGTAAGTAGAACGACAAGGAGCCTTAAATCTCTGAGCCTATAAAATGGAAACAACCTGAGTCCAAACTGCAGCTGATATAAGCTATTGAAACTTGTCTGACCCCAATACAAATCAACATCCATGTGGGTAGTTCTTTGGTCTTAGTATCCTGTTTTCTGTCATTTTTATAAGGCTTTACTCCATAAACTTTTTAAAACATATAATCACATTCAGTACACTCTCGGCCACATTTTCCTTCCCAGTTTCTTTATCACCTCATTGTGCTTGCTCAGCTTCAGAAAAATAACAAGATGCCATGGGTCAAGGGTTTTATGATTCCCAGGGCTGGGAAGATGGCTCAGATGGTAAACTACTTGCCACACAAGCAGGAGGACCTGAATTCAATCCCAGAATCCATGTGATGAAGCTTCATATGGTGGCTAACACTTGTAATCCCAGTGCTGGGGAAATGAACACAGACTTCTTAGGGCTCCTTGGGGTTCACTGGGGCTCACTGGGGCTCACTGGGGCTCACTGGGGCTCACTGCCCACCAGCCTAGCCCACTTAGTGAGCTTCAGGTCTATGAAATACCATCTCAAATAAAAGCAAAGCATCTGGCTCCCGAGGAATTACACCAGAGGTTATCCTCTGTCCTCCATGCACACATACACTCATATACATGCATACCCTCATATACCTGCACACACACACACACACACACACACACACACACACACACACGTTTTATAATTTTTGTTCTGATTTGCCCATTGATCTCTGGTAACTAATTTGATTTTTTTTTTCAAGCCTAGCCTATTGATCTTAGAATAATTTAGCAACCACCAATATTAGTTCATTCTTTCATCTATTATGTACCATCTCTATGTATAAGTCTCTCTCTCTCTCTCTCTCTCTCTCTCTCTGTGTGTGTGTGTGTGTGTGTGTGTGTGTGTGTGTGTGTGTGTGTGTGCTTCTCCTATAAAAACTAACATTTCCAGCCAAGAGTGAGTAGTTTGCTTAAATTGGTTTGGCTTTCTACACAAAGCAGCACTTCTTGTTATACTTAGCAATAGCGTTGGAAAGTCATGCGTGATTGAGACGGACTTTTTCAGTATTTGCTACTTAATTTATACCTTGTTGAAAATTTCACTTTTGATAAACATTCCTTGTGCATTCAATATGAAACAGGGACAGATTTTTAGTCAAATTCTTCTTTTTCAAATGACATGAAAGCCTACATTTCTAATTTTTTTATCATGTATTTATTTTATTCATTTTACATCCTTGTAACCTGTTCCCTCCTCCCCTCCCAGTCCCACCTTCTCTCTCTTCCCCCTCCCCTTTCCAGAAAAAGGGAGCTCACTTTCCCATCCACCCCAGGTCATCAAGTTACACCAAGACTGTTTTATTCCCTTTGGCTTGTCAAGGCAGTACTGTCAGGGGAAAGTGATCAAAAAACTGGCACATAAGTCCATGCACATAAGTGCAGTCCCCACTTCCCTTACTATAGAACACACATACAGCCTAAGCTGCCCATCTGCTACATCTTCGTAGGAGGCCTAGGTCCAGTTCATGCACAGTCCTTGGTTGATGTCTCAGCAAATCTCTCTGGGCCCTGGTTAGTTGGCTCTGTTGTTTTTCTTGTGGAGCTCCTGTCAAAGCCAGGGCCTTTTCTCTTTCCTCCCATTTTCCCAAAAGACTTTCTATGCCTCACCCAGTGTTTTGTTATAAGTCTCAGCATCTGTTTTAGTCTGCTGCTGGGTAGAGCCTCTCAGAGGACAGCTATAGGGTAGAACTTTGGTTGGACCCAGCATTGGTTGAAAGGCCTACATTTTTGATGTCTAGACATGTATAATTCATGAAACTCAATAGATTCTCAGAGTTGAATTAACAAAACAAGGATTTGCTTAGCAAACTCAGTTTCATAGTGATTGGTGTTCAGCAAGTTCATTTTCCTTGAAAACTTGAAAAGAAAGAAGAAACTTGAGAGAGGAGGTGTGCAAGCCTCCTTAAAAACTTTGCATAGATTTAAATACTGTGGGCGGGGGAGTCTACCATGTCATGGGAGAATTTACATCTCACACCCCGTTGTCTCTAATCACAGTTGGATGGTGTCCCTATTGTAACCTCCTAGTGATCAGACATTTCCAGGGAGCAATGGCTCACCTTGTTCTCATTTTGTTGAATAGCCTGAACCATGTGTCTATACACAAGCAACTTCCTTGACCCCCAACAGACACATACATACATACTTCTCTAAAAGCAATAAGATTTGAACCTTGATGTTATAATAAAGTCCATCATCAGAAAACCCAGGAAATAGCAATTTATTGTCCTTCCTATTGAAGAGTCTTTCTCACACCCCATCTCCCCAGCAATAAAAGCATCCTTTGAGTCTGGAGGTGAAACTCAGTTGGTAAAGAACCCAGAGCCCTGGGTTCCACCCCAGCACTGCGTACATTGGGCATGGTGGCACGCACCAGTAATTCTAACAGTCCAAAGTTTAAGGCAAGAGGATCAGAAGTTCAAGGTCAACCTCAGATAAATAGCACATTTGAAGGCAGCCTAGGACACATAAAACCATGTCTCAAAACAACAGAGCATTCTTGTCATGTGCTATTATTTCTACAGTAGAAAGAGTCCCTCCCACTAGAGCCCACATATGAGCTTTCTTTTCTCTCCTCAGCTGTCTGCACTGCAAGCCAAGGTCCACTATCTCAAGTTCCTCAGTGACCTGCGACTGTATGGGGGCCGTGTGTTCAAGGCAACATTAGTGGTAATTTCATTTTCTTGCTTTTCGTCTGGAGCCATAGAGGCCTGCCAGATGTCATGGCACAGGCTGTCTTCAAGAAGTTGTCCTGAATGCTATTGCAAAGAAGTGGAAAATCTTTCCCGGTCTTCAATCCTAACTAACTTCACCACAGTCTGAAGATACCTTGAGAAATGTTTGCTCTAGATAGTGTTGCTGCAGTAGTCCCTGGAAAAAGAAATGTGAAGAAAGAATGGAATCAAAAGTCTCTTAACAATGGTGGCTTTTCAGTCACTGAGCACAAAGTGGGGAAAAACCCATAAGTCTCATTTCTAAAAGCTTCTGATGTTTATAAATATATTGTATAATGATAATATTTACTTTCTATATTATTCATAATTTATCAGTTCCTCCATACACTCATATGTGAGTCCTTTTAATAGTACAATGTGACCCAGAAAAACTATCCAAAGAATATATTGTGATCTTACAAAATACTCTCTCAGGCTGATATTTACATGATGCTTCAGAAGTCCAGGCTTTGAAATATTCTGTCATTCTCTTTCCTCAGCAGGCAGAGAAGCGCTCAGAAGTCACTCTTCTGGTTGGTCCCCGATATGGCATAAGCCATGTCATAAACACCAAAACCAATCTGGTGGCTCTTTTAGCTGACTTCAGCCATGTCAACAGGATTGAGATGTTTACAGAAGAGGAGAGCTTGGTGAGGGTGGAGTTGCACGTGCTAGATGTAAAGGTGAGCCTTTAAAATGTTGACCCATGGCCCTGAATTGAACAACTCGTTTCTAGTAGCATTGATGGTATTCACCATGTAGGAAAGAGTTAATGTGTGGAGGGCCTCAAATATGCCATATTGTTGGGGGGGGGAGTAAATAATAAATCCAAACAACTCTAGTCCATGGGTTCTAGTCTTCATTAAATTGCTGTGTGATTTGGGGACTATTATATTTCTTCAGAAGCAGTTTCTCCATTGATTCACACACACACAAAAGCAAGTTATGTCATGTCACAGTCCCCTCTGGTTGTAGAATACTGAATCATATGACTGGGGACAATGTGTTCCCATCTGAGGTTCTAGACTGGATTATTCACATGAAGATTCAGTGAAAGTTCCCTCTGCTTCTTTGAATTCTCATTCTTTTTGGTTAAATTGGTCCACTATGGCAGAGTTGGAGGAATGGATTCGAGGACACTGGGATGATTGTAAAGAGTTTCTGCAGAGCAAATCAGGATGAGCCAGCATGCTCTGCAGCAGGAATGTATTGCCATCACAGAGCGTAGAGGCTCACATATATCACCTGTACACATGGGATGTCATGGTTTTAATCCAGATGGCTCCAAATGACTTCTAGCCAAACACAGTATGGCAAGATTCTTGGAGTGCCTATCCTAGTTCAAGGCCCAAGATGCTGAAAGAAATAGTCACATGGTACGAAAAGAACATAATGAATATGAGCTGGAAGTTGTCACCAGCAAGAAGAATATTTCCCACAGAGAAATGAGTGAGAAGACCTTGTTAATGGTCTCTTACCTGAACTGACTGCTGGTTGGGTGTCTTAGGAGCTGAGCAAAGACTTCAGTTCAGGTAGAAAGGACAGTTCAGGGATTTTGGATAGAAAGTATTAGTTACTCTAATGACCAAGGAAAACCTAGCCAGTGTCTTGCTCCTGAGAGTGAGAAATAGAAACCTGTTACTTTGCTGTCTTTGCCTTGTTTGTTGTCTGCTTTTTTGTTTGCATTTTCCCTCCTTTGCTCTCTCTTTCCACAAGAGCACATCCTTCCAAGAGAATAACAAAGGCTGTCCCATCAGCACTTCCTTCCACACTCAAGATACATGGCCTCATATGAGCTCATTATTTCCAGTTTTAGCAGTGTCTCTTCCCAGCTTGCAGTTCTAGTTTATATTTGTGTAAATTTGCAACTTCTTTTAGAAGCATCCTTTTCTCAGATCTCTTTGACACTTTCCACCCAGTTCCAACCAAAATCTCAACTTGCTTTTTATTTCCCTTCATTTTCACTACAAACCTCACATTTTAAATGATATTTTTAGAAATGTGTATGCATGCACATAGGTGCTTTTGTAGGTCAGGAGACAGTATTGGCTCTCCTGAAGGTGGATTTACAGGCAATTGTGAGCCACCTGATGAAAGTGTAGGAAACCAAACGCAGGTACCTGGGAAGTGCAGTACAAGCTCTTAACCAGAGCCATCTGTCCAGCCCCATGAATCTCAAATTTAATATCCCTGAGGCTTTTACATTGTCAGTTTGATTGTTTTGTAACTGAAATAACTTAGCCTTAACTATTACTCTTTAGACAATTAGGTATTATAAAAGAAAACTGGTGTTTCACAGGGCCTGGTACTTGATTCATTCCAGAATGAGTTGAAAGGGAGTTTTAAATTCAGTCTATGAACTCCCATACAGACAGTTAACACATATGAACTCTATGTTGTCTCTGTTATGATCACCTTTCTGCTGCAGAAAACTGGTGCATTCTTATTTGTTCTATAGAAACCCACTCCCATTGTCTCTAACACCCTTAGTCTACTCCTTTCACTCCCCTCTACTTGGCAATGTTGCTCAGGCCGCATCCTCTGCTTCTCTTAGAGCTTTCCTGACTGTTAGCATTGATCCGCTGTGAAGGCAACAGACTTTGGAGACTGTGGCTCCTCAATGTTTCCTCAGTAAGGCATCTCATGTCATCTCTGAGTTTCTCTCCTCATTTATGCTTCTCCAATGGAATGTTCTCTCAGTAACATCTTTTGCTGCTTACAGTTCATAAGCATTTATACATACTTTAGGCAAGAAAATTTTAATGGAAATTTCCTTCTTGTGCATTTCTTTGTTGTAAAGCCCATCACACTCCTTATGGAGTCATCCGATGCCATGAACCTGGCCTGTCTGACGGCTGGATACTACCGGCTGCTTGTGGACTCCAGGAGGTCAATATTTAACATGGCCAACAAGAAAAATGCAGGCACGCAGGACACAGGTATTTTTTGTCTACATTCGTGAAACGTTGACCTTCCTACCTATTCTTTGAGACTTTGAGAACTCAGCAATAATAATCAGCAACAGAATTCAGCAGTAATGGTCTATACTTAAGAATACTGATTCCAATGGCTGGGGAGATGGGAAGTACATTCCATACAAGTATGAAGACCTGATTTCCAAAGTTTAAAGCCCACATAAAGCTAGACACATAATAAATGTCTGTATTCCCAGTGTTCCCACAATAAGAGAAACAGAGACAAAAGAATCCCAGTGAGCTTGTGGGCCAGCTAGTCTGGAGTACACAACTCAGCAGCAAACAACAGAGATCCTACTTTAATCATAGAAGACAAGAACCAGCACCTATATTTGTTCTTTAACCTCCACATGCGTACCATGGCATATGCATGCCTGTACATACAAAGATACATACATACATATGTACATACATACACACATACACACATATGCACATACACATAGACACATGGACATACACACAGGCACAAGGAAATTTTGGTACTGTGTTTGCCTAGCACATATGAGACCTTTGGTTTAATCGCCATTACTAAGAAAATAAAAAAGATAGGGTTGTGCCTATAAAAAAAATCTAATTTCCAAATATAACACAAAGCCTTTAAGTACTGATGGCATTGATTAACTATTAAAAATAAACATGCTGATTTACCCATTATATCTGGAATGTAACTTGTAAATGACAGGGTCTTGATTCAAAGACAGTGGTTTTATTGCTGTGAAGTTCTACATTCTTTTTCCCTTCCTTCCTTCCTTCCTTCCTTCCTTCCTTCCTTCCTTCCTTCCTTTCTTTCTTTCTTTCTTTCTTTCTTTCTTTCTTTCTTTCTTTCTTCCTTTCTTTCTTTCCTCATGGTGCCTGTGGGACAGAATCCAGCTCCTCACGTAGTCATAAGTACTAGATAGACGTTCTGCCACTAAGCTGTTGCCATGGTGCAATGGCTACATTTCTACTGCCTCACTCTTAACATGACTGGGATCCTGAGAATTAAGTTTCCTGCTATAGAATTTCTCTTTCTTTAAAATCTTAGATTAGCTTTGACATCTATGAACTCACTAATTTATACTAATTTATGTACGTATGTATGTATGCATACATTTATTTAGTAAGACAAAGTATATAGCCCAAGCTAGCCTGGAAGTCACTATGTATTCCAGGCTGACCTCAAGCTATCACATTCCTGATACTGCCTCTGGGATGCTGGGATTCTCAGTGTGAGTTATCACACATGTTTTGGACTTAGAAGTTCTAGAAGAAACTTATCCCACCCTGGTGCCATTTAGGAGCCATTATAGGCACTGAGAAGACAAAGATATCATAAAGTTTACTCCAGCCACTTGATAGGACAAAATAATCCTAGAATTGGGGCAGGGAAGGCCATAAATGTTAAATTGACTATTGCAAAAAGTGCAAGTAGTTATAATTTGTTTCATGACCTATTCCTTAGTCTTCATTTTCTTCTGTCTGCTGTGGATGCCCAATAAATATAGCTGATAGACACTACCATGCAAGTCAAAACTACTGAAGGATGACAAAATTAGAATCAAGGGCCCCACAATAGGATTTCTTTTTAAAAATGGGAACTACAAGCTAGACATAGTGGCATAAGTGCAATTCAAGCACCCAGGATTTACTCAGTGGTAAATCACTCAGGATCTTTGATCTTTGGTCACTCTGACCTTTACATGCTTTCCATTGTATATGTACACACACACACACACACACACACACACACACACACACACACACACA